AACATGCAAAAAGTAGACAAATTCACTTACCTTTCAACATTTTCTAACTATGCAACAGGAGCCATTACAAATTCATCCAAGCTAGTCGTTAACTTTCCAAGGGAACGAATCTTGTACTGTGAGTGAAATTAATGATATTCTGTTCAGAATACAACCTTATACAATACATCATTTGATGGATTAAAACCTTAGCCTTCTATTGGTTATAGGTGATATGTAGTAAAACGTAAGAGAGAACTATCAGCCAATTGTGAAAGAGAGGATGTGACAGGTGGGTGTGGCAGTAGAGATCTGATTTTCTATTAGATAGCTCTGTAACAAAACAAAATTGAAGGCTATAGAAATTATAGTTTGTTTGAGCAATAACGATTTTATAGAGAGTATCTTACGTTTAATGTCGTACTTTTTTTGGGAGGTGGTGGATAAAATAGGGATGGTGACATGCTAAGACAAAATGTTACACGTGGGTCACGCTAGTGGAAATTCAGGATATTTTTCAATATTGTCTTGTATAATTAAGAACTTAAAACTTGTATACTATTAAAATATGGATTATTAGCTAAGCTTTTATGCTATTCTAATTGGTATAACATAAACATAAAGTAGTTTAAGAAAATTTTGAATGTATAACACTAAAACCTTGTGCCATGTGCAGTAAAGGGTACCTGGGGCAATAGGTAATCAGGTTAGAGAAGTCATTCCTTATACCTACCCAATATCTTGTCCACTTGGGTGTTTTTTGCAACACTCTCATTTGGGCCCAACCTTCTCCTCTTCGATTCCATTTGATGGAGCTTTCAGTTCTCCACCATCTTACTTCTCCCTCTATTACTGCTCATGAGGTTCTATCACTTTTCTATGGAAGACCTTGTCTTCTTGGGTCAGGCACATATGAGGTCTCTTCAGTGGGCCCTGCATGACCAATGGAACTTTGTATGGGATCCATTAGAGGCCCATATTTCCTTTCCTCCTTCCCTCATCAAAGATCTGCATTGGTGGTTGGCATGGGTTTACACATCAGTGGGTGTTCTGCTTCATCCCTCCATCCAGATTTGCATATCTTCATTGACCCTTCCCTCCAGTGCTGGGGGCGAGAGTTGATCAGAAAGAAGCTTCAAGTCTGTGGTCTCTGGTTGAGCAATCTTAACTTATCAACATCTTGGAGCTTCTGGCCATAAATCGTACTTTGGATCATTTTCTTCATCTTGCCAGGAATCCAGTTATGATCCATTCCAACAATTCTATGGTGGTGTCTTATATCACTCACCAAGGTGGCACCACCTATTCTCATTCCCTTTGTGATCAGACCTTGGATCTCTTTTTTTTTGAACCCACATGCTCGGCATTCATCTCCTTGTGTAGCATGTTCCAGATGCATTCAGTTTTGTTGCAGATCATCTTTCCTGTCCTGCCAAAGTAGTCGAGCCTTTTGTTTTCCAGTGGCAATGCCTTTGGTGGGGTACTCTTCACCTGGATGTGTTTGCCACACCATTCATTACCAAATTACCTCTATTTTGGTCTCTGGTTCCTCATCTATTTGCACTGGCTGCTGATGCATTCAGTCAGTATTGGACCATCAAAGACCTCTTATGTGTATCCTCCCATCTGTCTTCTTCCCAGGGTGATTTCGATCATTCTCACTACTCCATGTCAGGTCCTTCTTATTGCTCCTTATTGGACAAAACACCCATGGTTTCCACAGCTGCTCCAGCTCTAATCTGCCCCAATGTTACCTCTTTCTCTTACTTCATCCCTTTTACATAAACCTCGGTCACTGACATTTTATCCAGCCCTTCATATCCTCCATCTTCATACCTGGATTTTATCCAGTTCTTGGTAAGGAGATCTGGATTGTCCCACTGAATCACTTCGTTTTTAGTTTGTTCCATTTGCCCTTTCTGTATAGATGTTTATCAGTGTAAGTGGAACATTTTCCACTGTTAGTCTATGGGTTGGAGTTTTTCACCTGCTTGATTCACTGTTCCTCTTCTTACGAATTTTCTCACTTGGCTGTTTGATCAGGGGTCTTTGGTCTCCTTGATCATGGTTATCAGGCTGCCTTATCCCACACTTTTCATTTTTCCCAGGACTGTAAAGTTTTTACCTCTCCTACTCTCTCCCTATTGTTGCATTCCTTCCAAATTCATCCTTCTCCTGTGCATGCAATCCTTCTGGATGGGGACATCAATGTGGTTCTTCACTGCCTTACTTTACTTCCTTTTGAACCTCTAACCTCATGTTCAATTCTTTACTTATCTCTTAAGACTTATTTTCTTCTCCTCTTGGCCTGTGGACGTCATAACTCGGATTTATTTGCCATTTATATTTCACATACCCTTAATCTTGCCACGTATGTTCTCCTTTATCTGGATCACTCTTTCTTTCCCAAAACTTCTGTGGTTTGTGACAGTAACTCCTCCTCCTTTTTGCTGATTTTCCTTTCTTCCATTTTCACTGGGGTTGTGGACTATGGAGGCATCTTCCTGAATGTGATAATGATATACAGTACAAACAATGATGAAACCATTCAGTTGAGAGTAGGATGGTGGTGTTCTGCTGGTATAGATGACGAGATGTCCTCCAATCTGATGCTTCATCTCTATATGGGTTTATCTGAGGGGATGTTGTAGCTTTGAAGTGAGCCATCAAAATTGCAGTTCACCCTTCGATTGAGATCCCTCATCCTACCCCCACATGGATATCGGTTCCCAGTGGCTGGGTTTTGGATTCAGAGCTGAACCAATCAACACAAGTCCTCACACACATATTACAGGTGTCTCTGTTCCATCATTCAATTATACTCTTCTTCACTTCTCCATGCTATGGGTAATGGTGGTGGTACTTGCAGATTAACACGGTTCTTCCTCTTATGCTATCCCTCGTTGATTTTCATATACTGAAGATGTTTTTGCACTGGGGGTGGTTCCTGTCAGATGGGTTTTGAGTGAGAGTGTTTACAGGGACATCTTTCTTATGGCAGTCATCTGGATGTCGGGTTCCCAGATCAGTCAAACAATTTATCATATTTCTATCATGTGTCCCAGTCACAGATCGATGGGTATGAGATTTCCCTCTGGTCTGCTGAATTTGAGGTGAAAATAGTATGATCCTCTTTCCTACCTCCACCAGATGGCTGAGATTTGGATTGTAGTTGACTTACCAATGGTTTGGATGCAATTGATTTGCTGAGTATGATCCATTGTGCCCTAGCCACTCTACACCTCGGGGCACATCCTTTTTTACTCTCACTAACATTCATGTAATCTATGGGATTGAGGTTCAGATATTGTGTGGTTCAGATCCCTATCCATACATTGTTCTCTCCCTTTTGGATGTGTTCCTCCCATTTTCCACCCATGTCTGCATCACCTCTTTCCACACTGGGCAAAGCATATACCTGGTACAGAGTGGTGCAGTCTCCTACTTATGATCCTCTCATACGAGGGGCTCCTCTTTTAGGGTGTATGGTTTGGATGCAGTTGATTTGCTGAGTATGATCTATTGTGCCCTAGCCACTCTACACCTAGGGGCACATCCTTTTTACTCTCACCAACATTCATGTAATCTATGGGATTGAGGTTCAGATATTGTGTGGTTCAGCTCCCTATCCATACATTGTTCTCTCAAATTTGGATGTGTTCCTCCCATTTTCCACCCATGTCTGCATCACCTCTTTTCAAACTGGGCAAAGCATATACTTGGTACAGAAGTGGTGCAGTCTCCCACCTATGATCCTCTCATGCTTGGGTCTCATCTTTTATGGTGTTTCAAATGCTTTCAAAGGATGCTTCTTTCTTTCCCTTGCACCGGTCCCTCCACCTATTCAGTATGGGATTCTAGCTATTTATGTGAGTCAAGGTAATGTACCAGAGCAGAAATAATAATTTTCCTATACTGAAAATGTATTTCTGATAGGTACTTATCTCCTCTTACACTTCTCTGGTGCTTTCATTTTCTGCCAAAACTTGAAATGACAATTCAGTAGAATCGAATAGAAGGAATCACATGTATCAGGAGGGTTGATCACACTCCTATTGGTGGAGGATTGTCACATGATGATTACATGCGAGACGCAGTTGAACCATGTTGAATGTAGGGTATGTGGGAGCTCAAGGCTTGTGGCATGCAAAAAAATATTTGCACATAGAAGGTAGCACTGAGGGAGAATAGCTATTTATGTGAGAATGGGTAAATACTTATCAGAAATATATTTTTAGTATAGGGAAATTATAACATTTCTTTTCTCAATTTTAAATTTTAAAGTTACAAATGTAAAATGTTAAAAAAACAGTAATTTATCAGTGATGATTTTATTATAATTTTGAATATAACTTGCCTATTTGGTTTTCAAACCCCTTTTACTGCAATTAGTGTTTACTTTCAGAAATGAATAAAGTATTCTTTTATTATTTTACTAGGTTTCAAATTAATTATTCTTTTAAAAATAAACAGGACACTCCAGCGGAAAGTGAAAACTGCTTCTCCAAAAGTAACCATCAAGAAAATCCATTTGTTGAACCCACTCAGCAACAAACTGTGGTAGATATGAAGGGTTAGTTAAACTTCTGTCTATTAGTTTTTCAACAGTGTTTTATGGTCTAGTAATAAAGCTATCTTCTTCAGCTTTTCCTTCAGTAGAGGTTACCATCTTTAAACATGTGTTGCTTTCCTCTGGTCATCTCTGTTTATTGCCAGAGCTCCTGCATTTCCTTATCATTCATGTCTTCTTTAATCCCATTCTTCCAACACTTTACTAGTCTTCCCTGTTTTCTCTTGCCAGCTACTGGCAGCTCTGATGCTCTCTTTATTACTTGTTCTTTTTCTCTTCTCTTCACATGACCAAACTACCTCAGTCTCGCTTGTCTTCTCATTTCCTTGATTCCATAGAGCCCTGCCATTTCCTTAATTTCTTTATTCATTCTTTTCTCTTTTTGTTACACTCCAAACAGCCATCTCAGCATTCTCATTTCTATTTTTATCAACAAACCTTTTTTTCTTCTTCAGTGTACAGTTCTTGGCTCCATAGAGGAGCACTGAAGTGGGAAAGCTATAACTGATATATTTATATATTTCATGTATTAGAAAAAAATACTGAATGTTTTTTGGTTTTTATCCAAGAATATATTTATAAGGATATCAGTTTGGCACAATAACAGTAGAGTTTAAAAATGAATAAAAAACCCTATAACCTGAGCGCTTTCGAAACTTCAGAAGAAAGGTCCATCTTTCGAAAGTGCTCGGGTTATAGGGTTTTTATTCATTTT